TTGAATCTCCTCTGTGACTCAGCAGACAGAACCTCATGCTAGCGTCGCTCTGAAGTTTCAGAAGAGGACACTAAACCGCCCAGGGAGTGAGGATGAAAGGGCCAGAGGCAGGCATGTAGTTTATTTCCAGTCTCTGCCTTACCCTGAGAAAGTGACTGCTGTATTCTCATCTTTACTATGGCTATGCTAGCCCATTAAAACCATTTAAAAATTATTCTTGCAAATTACATTGCTTATTGTCCTCAAATTGTGACGTACAGTTGAGCCTCCAAAGATACGGAACATGCTCGCTCCTGGTTCTGAGACTTCGCTAGAAGATCCTCATGCTACTTCCAGCTAATTTTTTTTTTTTGGTGGTCAGTTTTAAGTTCCAAGATTGGGCTGGTGCCATGGCTCACTTGGTTTATCCTCCGCCTGCGATGCTGGCATCCCATATGGGTGCCGGGTTCTAGTCCTGGTTGTTCCTCTTCCAGTCCAGCTCTCTGCTGTGGCCTGTAGTAGCAATAGAAGATGGCCCAAGTGCTTGGGCTCCTGCACCTGCATGGGAGACCTAGAGGAAGCTCCTGGCTCCTGGCTTTGGATCGGCGTAGCTCCAGCCATAGCGGCCACTTGGGGGGTGAACCAACGTAAGGAAGACCTTTCTCTCTGTCTCTCTCTCTCACTGTCTAACTCTATAAAAAAAAAAGGTTTCAAGATTGATGTAGACTACAGCTTCTTTATAATAATTACGGCAGAGAACAATTCACTTAAGCCGTTCATTACTCTGTGAGTTATAAGGATACTTCAGAAAGTTCATGGAAAAAAATGGAGTGAAAAGATGCTTATTTTGGTGCCAAAAAAAATTTGAAATCCATGCCTATTTTTTTCACCACATGCACTTTCCATGAACTTGTGGAAGGCCCTGCCTAAGTACTAGTAGTTACCCTCATCTGACAGTCAGACACTCGAGGCACAGGGATGTTCAGTAAGTTGCCCACTGTTATACAGTTTGTCAGTGTTGGTGCTGGGGTTTGAGCCCAGCAGTGTGTGGCTGTGTTCTTAGCCTCACTATGATGTCCCTCCTCAAAGCTAACTTGAGTCCGATAAACCAACTGAGGGGGTTCCTTTTGGGTAGGGGGGCATCAGTAATGTCCCTAAGACATCTAAGAATTTGGGTGCTGCTCAGAATTTTTGTGATACGGCACCTGAAAGTACCTATTTTTGTCTAGAGTTCAAGAAGCTCAACTCTGGGGCCTGATGTCCTCAATTCTCAAGAACTTGGATGAGGCTTGGCTTCATGGACAGGGGTGGACTCTACCTGGTGCTTGGCAACTTGAACCTTCTGGGAAACACTGCTCCAAGTTGCTTGTGGCTGGAGTCACTGCCAGCCAGAGACGCTCAATCTCGAGTTTCTTTCATGATTCCAAGATGATGGAGCCGCATGAGCCATGTGCTTGAGTGTTTTTAGACAATGCCAATAACACACAAAAGGTACAGATGTTATAGCTGTTGAGGTGGTTTTGTGGTATTACTTGGTATGGGTGCACTTTGCTTAGAGTTCATTGTGTTTCTTAGCTGCACAAACAAAAAGCAATGGCACTTGTTATGCACTGCTCTAAATGCTTGTGGTTTAACGTTTGCCAGGTATTTCAATATATAGCTGCAGATCACTTGGGATGACATCATCAGCAAAAGTTTTCTGTTTCTTTAGTTGTTTTTTTTAATAACTTAGCCATTGTGGCAACAGCAACAATAAAAGGTCACGGAGAACAAAGAGACCCATGTCTAAAGAGAAGGCCTTACATAGACACATGGCATAGAAATTAGACACAATTGCAAAAACAACTTCCACACGTTTCTTACCTGTGGACCTCCTGGCATATCTCCCTGGGAACTCCTGAGATATCTTCCTGTGCTGCCCCACCACAAGCCAGCCTCTCCATGGTGCTTTGGGTCCCAGCATCTGACTCCTAATTGAGGCTCCTGGGGTTGTCCGTGTGTTCCCTGGTATCATCTGATTCCCCACCCACATCCCCATCCAGCTACTGTGCCATTTCTCTTGGCAAGAGTTAGTTATCTCTGTTTGCAGCCTCACATGTCTCTCGTCCATGTTCTGCAGTCCTCACTGTAGTGCAACTTTGGGTCCCTTCCCCACCAAAGCGATCCTTGGCAAGAGTGCCCAGGACCACCACCACGTTTCAAATTCAATATTGAGTCCCCAGTCTCCATCTTAGTCTGCCAGTGGCACCTGAACCAGCTAATCAATCAGGCCCTCTGTCTCAAAATCATTGTCTTCCGTTGGCCTTTTTGATGCCACACTTGGTGCTCTGCCTACACAGAGGATGCTCCTTGCAATTTTCCTTTGTAGATACTCCTAGCATCGCCTCAACCTTTTCATATTCCAGTGCCTCGGTCCTCCTACCACTTCTCTAAGTGTCCTCACTCCCAAAGTTCAATTATCTCGTCTCTTGACTTTAAATGCCACTTACACACTGATGACTTCATCTTAGGACTCTCCGCTCAATGTTGACTACCTTTTCAACATCTCTGCTTGGATGTCTAATTGGCATCTCAAACCTAGCATGTGTGAAACCCAACTCTTCTTTCTCTTCTGCACAGCTCCCCACCCCTGCCAAACTGCCTGCTGTATCTTGATAAATAACAGCTTCATGTTGTCAGTTACCCAAGCCAGAAACCCTGGGGTTGCCATGACTTCTCTCTTTAGCTTACACTTCACGTCAGTAAGCCTTGTCTGCTCCTTTTTCAAAACATATCCACAATCTGATCAGTTACTTGTTGCTCATTGTCTCCACTGCTACCACCTAGGCCAGGCTGCGATTACCTGTCATCTGTGTTAGTCAGTGGGGTGCCCTGTGCCATCCTTGCCTTTGGAGTCACCCTCCCATGATCCTTAGATCATTGTACTCACCTGATCAGAAGCCTCATCTGGATTTCTGTTTCTCTCGGAGCAAAGACTACAGTCTGTGAACACAATGGCATGGAAAGCCTTAAGTGATCTGCTCTTCTGTCCCTGCCCCTGCTAGCCAACTTCTTCCTCCCCCTGTATCTCCCTTACTAATTATACTTAGCCTGTTTACTGTCCCTGTCACTGACCAGGTACACTCCCACCTCAAGGGGCCCGCACAAGGTCTTTTTTCTGTCCCGCTTTCACATTTGTTGCCTAGGTTTTTTTTTAAAGATTTATTTTATTTATTTGAAAGACAGAGCTACAGAGAGAGGTAGAGACAGAGAGGGAGGTCTTCCATCCGCTGGTTCACTCCACAGATGGCCGCAATGGCTGGAGCTGAGCTGATCTGAAGCTAGGAGCCAGGAACTTCTTCCAGGTCTCCCACGCAGGTGCAGGGGCCCAAGGACTTGAGCCATCTTCCACTGCTTTCCCAGGCCATAGCAGAGAGCTGGATCAGAAGAGGAGCAGCCGAGACTATAACCGGTGCCCATATGCGATGCCGGTGCTTCAGGCCAGGGCGTTAACCCACTGTGACACAGCACCAGCCCCGCCTAGTTTTTTTTTTTGTTGTTTGTTTGTTTGTTTGTTTTAAGATTTATTTATTTTACTTGAATGTCACAGCTACAGAGTGGGAGGAGGAGAGAAAGACAGAGGTCTTCCATCTACTGGTTCACTCCCCAAATGGCCCCAACAACCAGGGCAGGCCGAAGCCAGGAGCCAGGAGCTTCATCTGGGTCTTGCAAGCACTTGGGCCGTCCGTCCTCTGGCTGTTTTCCTAGGTGCATTAGCAGAGAGCTGGATAGGAAATGGAGCAGCTGGGACTTGAACCGGAACCCGTATGGGATGCTGGTGCTGCATGTAGTGCCTTTCCCCACTAAGCCACAGTGCTGGCCCCTCTTGCCTAGATTTTTATGGAACTTGTTTCCTCCCTCCCTTCAGATCTTTGTTCTAATGCCTACTTGATCAGAAAGGCCATCTTCCACCGGGCGCCCTAAGCAAAGTAACAGTCACCCTCACCCTCTCCCCCTCCCCCTGTTCTGCTTGACCACTCACCACTAGCTAGAATTTATTTGATTACATTTCCTTCTCCTCTAAACTGGAAACTCCATTAGGGCAGGGATTTTTTTCTCTTGTTCATTTTTTAATCATTTGAACCTAGCACAGCACCTGGAAGTTAGTAAGTATTCAATAAAGTTTTTGAATGATTGAATTTTCTGGGTAAGGTGATCAGAAATAGGCAAGCAGGGAATAAGGATTTTCCCAGACTGAAAGAGGATCTACAGGGGCTGGTGTTGTGGAGCAGTGGGTTCAGCCACTGTCTGTTGTGCTGGCATCCCCTATGGGTACTGGTTTGAGTCCTGGTTGCTCCACTTCCAATCTAGCTCCCTGTTGATGAGCCTGGGAAAGCAGTGGAGGATGTTCTTGGGGCGCTATACCCACGTGGGAGACCAAGAAGAAGCTCTTGGCTCCTGTCTTCAGTCTGGCCCAGCCTTGACCGTTGCAGCCATTTGGGGAATGAACCAGCAGATGGAAGTGCTCTCTCTCTCTCTCCCTCTCTCTCTCTCTTCCTCTCTGTAACTCTTCAAATAAATAAATAAATCTTTTTTGAAAGGATCTACGGTATCTACAATATTTCATGTTTTGGAAGACACCCCGTCTGCCCATTCTCTGATATTTGACGGTTTCTGGAGTTGGTGTGCATATTGGAATGGAGGGGGCTTCTCAGTTGCCATCTACCAGGCAGTGTCCATGATGCAATTGGCTGTTTGCCGTGCATCCACAAAATTGGTCATAGCTGTTTTACGTGCCAGCAGTTTAGTTGAGTTGCTTGTGTTGTTGGTTCTATATGAGGGGACTTTAAAAAGTTAATGGAAAAATGGAATTGAAACACAAACTTATTTTGGTGCCAGTGCTTTTGATCCCCATGCATAGTTTTCTCATAGTACACATTTTCTATGAACTTTTTGAAGATCCCTCTCACATGAATATACCTGCCATTTGATACACTCTCAGTAAAATCACACTTACTGAAATGAAATTTTATTGGCATCAAAACAAAATGTTATTGTGTACACAGAATGGATGAGAAGAGCAGGAAGTAAAATTTAATACTAGTAAAGCAAATGTTCATTGCTGGAGAAAGTACTGAAAGTCCACCTTTTCTTTCACACCAACAGCTAGGAAGATAGTAGTAGAAACCCTGTTAGTTTTGGTATTGAATTCGATGCAGAAACGGACTGCTGATCATAGGACAAGCAAGGCAGCTGGAGGCAGAAGAAATTACTGAATCCCCTTAGAACAAAGCTCTGAGAAACCAGTTTGTTACCAAAGACTGTCTTTCATCCATTGTGTCCTAGTTAATTGGCAAACTTTGGTTCTTTCTTAATGGTACATAAAATAACAGAATCTCTTCCAATCAACAGTGTTTCTGCTCAGACGAAAAAGGATGGGTCTGTTTTTGAGAGCTTAGAATTGTTAAGTCTGATTTATAAATCTGAATTTTGCCATTTATCGTTATTCATTTACAGTTTGGTTTCTAAGGTAACAAATGTTGTCTGTCCATGTGAATGAAACAAGGACACAAGAGGCTTGGCCAGGCGTTTGTTAAATACATTTTCTTCATTTCCCTACTGAATGTCTTAGAACTGGAATCACTGGGACTAATTATCCAGTAGTAAGATTTGACTTTTGATTGTTGCTCTTAGTTTGAGGATAACTTTTTCAGACAGCTGCGGGTTTTGTTTTTCAGTTTTTTCTCTTGATAAGTATAGGCACCTAAGAAGTTAACAAAAATAGTACTGAGAGGGCTCGAGTATCCACTACCCATCACTATAGTGCAGCTGCCGTTTTTAATAGATTGTCTTGTTCTCTTCCCATGACCTGTTGGGGTAGGAGCGTTGGTTTGTCACGTTGTCCAACCAGCCTCTTCATTTTAGGAAGCTTCCTAGTCGCAAGAGGTGAGAGCAGAGGCAGAGATGCTAGAAAGGGACTCATATATTGATCGCTACGACAGAAGAAATAACCACCCCACATTAACATGTCTTCAAGAATCACAGTCAGAAGGGACACAAGGCCAGTCACTCATTGGACAGGGTGACTGCTCCCTGAACATTCCTGCCAAGTCACACCATTCCAGCTCTTTCTAAGGGTTGCTTCTGCTCAAGGCCGGCCACAGTCTGGTTTGCACACCGCAGGACTTTGCGTACCCACACGTTAGATAATAGACAGTCACCCCTGTGCTTTTTCTTCCTCCTGGTTAAATACATCCAGATCCTTTAATCCTGCAGCACTTTCAGTCCCCATCCCTCCTCCCCCCGCTCCTGCTTGCTGCTACTCTGCAGGCTGCAGGTTTTTGATAGAATGGCTGCGTCCCGGCGAGAGGATAATAATAGGTCAGGTAAATTAGGGGGTGAGCTGAGAGGTGCATTATAGGAAAAATAGAATAGTGGGAAGTACCAACAAGGTCGGAAATGCAAGCTCATTATTAAAACTGTATCCTTCAAATGAGCTAATACCTTCCTTTTGTTGTTTCTCTTTCCCATTTCTTTTATTTATTCCCTTTCACTTGGACAGCCTGCATTGTCTACCCTCCCTCCCCACTCCAAATACTCACCTTTGGTTTTCTGCCTCTGGTGACTCCTTTACATCATCACCTCCCAGCCAAGACTGCTGCAACCAACTTGACATCCACCTCTGCCGCTGCACTTGACCATGTGCTTGGCTTCCAAGTTGTCTTTGCTGCTGGTTATTTATTTATTTATTTATTTTTGTTATTGCTAGTTGATAAGCGGGTCGTGTCAGCATAGTTAGTGAGCATTCTTAAATTCATTCTCATTTAGCGTCAATGATGCCTTTGAAAATTCTGATTCTCCCCATCGTGGAACATCAGAATGGCAACCACGCATTCCCACCCCTAGCCTGAAACACTCAGCATGTTTGGGAGAAGAGACATCTCATAGGGACTGCCCAAGGACTCTTGTTTTGAGAAAATTTGAACTCTGAGAATTGTTACAAGCTATTGCTTCCACTGTTTTTTTTTTTCTGCAATGACTATCTTTTTCATCAGTTTAATAGTTATTTGAGAGGGAGAGAAAGAGAGAGAGAGAGAGAGAGAGAGAGAGAGAGAGAGAGAAACTCCCATCCACTGATTTACTCTCTAACTGCCTGCAGTGCTACTGCATTCGGGAACTGGGAACTCAATCCAGGTCTTCCATGTGGGTGGCAAAAATCTCACTATTGGAGCCATCATCTGCCTCCCAGGATCTGCATTAGCCGGAAGGTGGAGTCAGGAGCCAGAGCCAGGAATTGAATGCAGGTGTCCTAATCAGCATTTTCACCAGTGTTAAGTACCTGCCCCTCAGTTTTCTCTGTCTTGATCTATTTTTCTTCACTTACTCCCAGTGAATTCCTAAAGATTGATGAAGACTGTCTCATTTCAGCCTAAGGCAGTGCAAAAGTTCTGTGTGGCAACTTTCTTCTCACGGAAAACAATTGTAAAAAGAATGCTCACTTTCCTCAGGTTTGCTCTTTGCATGTGGCATTCCCATTTGGAATGCTCTTGAGAGGTTAAACTCATTTTCTGAGCAATTGTTTTCATAAATGTAGCATTTTGCTTGCCGTGCTCATGGCTAGATAATATGTAACCTCGTCCCTACCCAGTATTATTCACGTTGTTTTCACACTTATCTCCAAGGGCCAAAGATTATCTCACAGAAGCTCCGAAAGAATTCCTGTTTCTGAAATTGATGTGTAAAAGGAAATTTTGAAAGGGAAAGAGGGTGATAATCAAGTTCAAGCTCCAAGAATTTGTGTAAAGGATTATATTGATTAACAAAAGCTTTCTGGCATCTTCTGGCAGACTTGTGAGAGAAGGCAATGATTGTAATTAATTTTTAGTGAGTGCCGCATATTTGATAATTGCTCTGATTCACGCTATTATATTCCTCTTCCTTCACCCACGGCAAAACAAGCTTAATTTGATTCATACCCTTAGGAAGAAAAAAAAAGGCCTAAGATTACTCACATGGCTGTGATTCAGCTCTTGGCTCCCACCACCTCCTCCTCCTCCTCATCCTCCCTTTCTCCCACCCCGCCCACTCCCATATTCACTCCCACCCAGCGGTGTTGCCATGAAAAAAATTGAGTCAGTTCGTTCTTTAAAAATGGGTGGGGAAATAAGACAACTAATAAAAACTTTTCTGAGTGAAATTTATGGCTTAGATCTGGAATCATTGCAGGAAGACAGGCAAAGCGGCTACTTATATAACATGAAAAGCTAGGAACAGAGGCCAACCCTCATAAAGTAATGTTCAGATTGTCTTATGTAAGTGTAGACATAGTTGATGCATGTCTGTAGAGGCGTATACATGGCCATGCTGACAGATTTCTATGCAAAAATTTCTAATATTAGGGAATCTTACATATGTTACATGCAAAACCAATCTTTTGTTTTTGAAGTAGGTTACTTTGCTGTAATCTAAAAGTGAATATAGCAGCCGTCCAAAGATTTTTGATCTTTGTAAAACGTAGATGATATATGCACTTTGGTGGCAGGCATTGTGGTGCAGTAGGTTAAACTACCAGTTGCGATGCCAGCATCCCACAACCGAGGGCTGATTCGAGTCCCAGCTGCTCTACTTCCAATCTGGCTTCCTGCCGATGCGCCTAGGAAGGCAGTGGAGGATGGCCCAGGTGCTTGAGCTCCTGCCACCCATGTTGGAGACCCACATGAAGTTAATGATTTCTGATCCAAACCTGGCCTTTACAACCATTTGGGGGTAGTGAACCAGTAGATGGGAAAAAAAAAAATCTGTCTCTAACTCTGACTTTCTAATACATAAATCTTTTTTTTTTTTAAAGGCACTTTGTCTTCCAATGAACAGTGTGACTTGGAGGCCTGAGAGTATTGTTCCCCATGTCCCTGTAGGAGTTGGCAGATAGTAACTGGGGGTAGCAACTTACCCTTTGTGAGCCAATGGTGGTGGCGAACATTACTGAGGCCGGGATTTGTATTCTTCCTTGTATTTTCTCATTTATTCCCATTCTCCAGCTGAAGCAAAAGCCTTGAGAAAATGAAGTCTCTCTTCTAAGTCCCCACAGATAATAGACCTAGAGCCAGTATTGGAATCCAGGCGGTCCGTCTTCACGCTGACTTGTAGTTTTGGTTTCTGGGATGCAGACACAGTTGGATCATTTATGTTGTAGAGATTGCCTGGGGATAGGAGTGGCCGCAGACAGAAAGCCCCATGCTGGAGCTCCAAACCAGCCTTTAACTGATCTGGTGAATCAGGTCTCTGTGTGTCTTCTTCAACCACACCCCCACATAGAGGGGAACAGAGTCGAAGGAGCCTTCCCCCAACAACACTCATTTATAATCCTAAGCACTCTCTCAGTTGTGCTGGCTTTCCCCCCTTCATGTTACCATCTGTCTCCGAAACATTGCCTGGATAAAGACAAGTTGGAGCAGTTGCTCGCCCTCAAACAAAACACAGAACGACTTCTCTTCCCCCCCCCCCCCCCCCGAGCAGTGCAGAGCACCATATTTGAGGAGTTCCATATTTATAAAGCTTGCCTGTGCCTCAGAGATGCCTGGTTGTTGTCCTTTTTTTTTTTTTTATCATTCTTCAAATATGTTATGTGCAGACTGGAAACCATTAGCTTTTGTTACTGAAGGGTTTGTGGGATTCTTGAACTGCTTCCTCTAGTTTTCAGTTGGGAGATCCAAGCAGTTTGCTCCTTTAAGAAGTGAAATGTCTTAATGAAAGACAGCATAGAAGAGAATACATCCTGAGGCTCCCCACCCAACTCCTTGAGTATCCCTTAGGGGATCTCTGGTGGGATTTTAAGTCGTGACCCTGTGGAGAGAACCAGGGGGAAAGGCAGCAGAGAGAGAGTGTGTGGTTGGGTTTACAAATGAGTGTTGGAAGAGGGTTCGATTTTCCTTCCCTCTCCGTGGGAGCTTAGTTGAAAGATGCACCACAGATTGGAGCATGGGTATTTTTTTCCGAGTGGGTACCCACCTTGTGGATGTCAGAGGCAGCACTCTGCCCCCAACAAGACGATAACGAATTCTCCCAATCTTTGCCCCATGCATCTGTGTTTCCTTGATGATGGCGACAGTTCCAGTGTCTTCACCCATCTAACCAAAACGGGACACAAAAAAGTTCTTTTTGAATGTTCTCTATGTTTGACCCTGGCTTGATTGATTCTGTGCTGGCTTTAGGAGATTCTGGGAAGTTTGAAAGGAAAAGCCCAAGCAGATCTCAGATATTTAACTGCGTGAGAATTTCAACTGCTAAGACTTCAGGAGGACAATACGGATTGGCTATGTTTTTCTCATTAATAGAATAGTTTTTTTTTTTTTTTTAAGCATTGTGGAGTTGTATTTTGCTCATTGAAAAATGTTTAGGGAATGACTGACATGTACATGACTCTGGAGTTATCTGTCTAGCACTGTTCTCAGTACTTAAATACAGTAATTTTTTTTAATCCAGGTGCCATAGCTAAGAACAGCAGAATCAGAGTTCAAACCTAAGCAAGTCTGGCTCCAGAAGCCAGACTTTTAAAATATGTGGGTCCTTTTAGATGCCAGAGTTCTAAGTGCTTGATTTTATTAGCATTCAGTTTTCGTAGCCTGTGTTTATTTTCATTGAAAGCCATATAATTATAGATTTTATGTTCTCTCTATATCATAGGATGGTAACTGTCTGAAGCCAATAAAACTTTGCTCAAAAAACACCCAGTGACTAGATTAATACATCCCTGTTGAAGTATGAATAAGTTTTAATAACTGAGTGAGAAGTACGTGCACATAAACTTTGACTACAAAAATATAATTTGCAAGAAACTTCTTAATACCTTGGTATGAATTTAATTTCTAAACATCAATTCAGTAAAATGTAAATTTAAAGTTGGGGTTTATTGTAGTAAAATCCCACAGGGAATCTTTTTGTAAAGTGAATAGCCAACTCCTGAATTAACTGTTTTGTGCTGTTATATACCCTCTCTCTGGCCTCATCTATGAATCTGAAATTTAGATATTTGACCACTTCTGCATGTTGTAAAAATAGAATGCATGTCCTAGCGTAGACAAAAACTAGTTATCCATCAAGGTGTAATCAACTATCAGTGTCAAGTCTTGGTCAAAGCAGTTGCTGACTTTGCTCAAGGTTAAAGGAAATATGCTGAAAAGAGATAACTGTGGAACCTTCCAGAGTTTTCGTGTGGGGAAATTACACTTCTTATTCTTTCATTCTTCCTGTCTGTGGAATACCTGGGAACAATTTACTCTATGCCATGCCACTCCCATCACGGTAGTAAACTTTTACTAAGGAGAAAGACTTGGAGGGCATGTCAGTTTATTTAGTTGGAAATTCTACAGATGACACTTGGTGATTTTCAAGTTTTATTTGGCAGCTTTTGGGCAGGTTGGGATTAAATGGTTGCATGGAATTTTTTTTTCTTTTTATTTTTTTGGTGTATGACACGGTTGTATTTTCCATTGGTGCTTATGTGTGAGTAGCTCAGTAAATGCAAAAGTGAAAGCCACAACATGGCTGTCAGGCTCCTGACCACTTCCTGAAGAACTCACCACGTGGGCCCCAGACGGAGAGACTTGCACTTGGGTTCTTCAGGGCGGAACGAGCCCCACGCGTTCATGGCAAAGACCCCAAGCACACCAAAACATACTAAAACCTGTTGATTGTCGTGTGTGGGTGTGCACTCAAATGTTTCATTGCCTCAGTTGTAAGATTTCCAATGCACAATTCTAAAAATTTTCAATTTTTAGGGACTAGAACTAGAGCCTGTCACCCCCCCCCTTAAAAATACTCCTGCACCTTCTTGTTTACATGATCTGATTCTTTGAAACCCATTAGACCGTGTGTTCTGACCCTTAAATGTACAAGTTATAAAAGAAAAATGTGAGCTTGTCAGTGCAACTACAACTACCAGTCTAATAAAACTGAGTCACATCCAAATGGGCTGCACTTCGGCTACCCTCCCATTCTAGGGAAAACGTGGCTGGGGGAGGCAGTCTGAGTCATCACCTGCTTTGTTTGACATACGCTTCCTTCCATAAATTGGGAATGGCAAGCAGCACAGTGTTCCCGGCTTGCCTCGCAGAAGGAGCTCTTGCAAGGCACGAGCCACATAGGGCCTTTGGGTTTGAAGGGTGAAGCCGAGCCCACATTCTGACTTCAGATGGAGGGGGAGGGGGAGAAGAAACCCACAGATCCAAACAAGGAACATTTGTAAGTACCATTTTTGGAGGTCGGGGTGTTCACGGTTGAATTTCTTCCTAGGACATAAGAGGTATTCAAGAGATAAATTGGGGGCTTTAAAACTAAAACAAATTGGTAGCTAGTTCACTAAATGGGCTTGGTTCCTTAACAAAAATGTTCTTGATTTGAACAAAATAATTACGAGCGAGCGAGCGAGCGAGAGTGTTTAATTTTGCCTAATGTACCCAGCTATTTAAAAAAGAAATGGATTTTATTTAGGAACCTTTTCATGGCAAATTCAAATCTTGCAGGGGTATTTTGAGGGGATGAGAAGAGAGGCTCATGTGTCTCCCACATTTTCCTATCGTGGCTTCACAGAGGCTCACTGGAGCTTTTTCCAATAAAGAAGTTGCGAATGTAAAATTGCCAGGGAGACTATAGAGAAAGGGGAAGGAAGAGCAGTAGATTTATAGCTGAAGTGGGTTTGTAAACTCAGCCTCTGCTTTGGGATCATTTTGTAATATGTGCCAGACATTCTTCTAATTTCCATCCGGGCTTGGTTGTGGCTCTTTCTCTGTGTGAGGCTGGGGTGTTCCCTGGTTTAAAGTCGGAGTTGTCGCAGCAGCCTGGGCGTTTTCTGTTTCGGCTTATGGCCCTTTTTTTTTTTTCTCTTTTCCTGAATGAGTGTCCTTTGTGTAACCCCAGTAATTCAGAAATCCTGCAGTCATAGGGACTGCCCTGTCATGTGACTTAGGTACTAGGTGCTGGCTGCGATTGGTCAGCAGCTAATTGGCGGGTCCCTATAAGAGGTCCCGGGTCAGCCGTCCGTGCCACTCTCCTGCCTGGGCTGCTGCTCAATGGGGCAATGTGGGTGGGGGTGGAGGGGTCTGTCCAGTGATTCAGCCACATGTGATAGATGACCAAGTGACTGCTTCCTTGGGGTCTACACACCAGTGGAAGACACAAATTGGTTGTGGCCGACTTGATCAAACTCTGGCTTCCTGAACTGGTAACTGTCACTTTAATATAGCTTACTGATTAAACTCAGAAAAATGCAGCTGAAATTCTTTGCCAGGAACTTGTGTGGACTTAACTCCCTGTCTGTCCGTTCCGCCCCCCTAACCCCCACCCTTCCACTCCCCCCCCAACCCCTCAACCTTTCTGATTTGTTTTGTCACGGGAATGAAATGCAGATAACGCTTTCAAAAACTTTTGTAGGAAAAGTGCCTGTGTGATCTGGAACAAAGACGTTTTATAATCAGATTGATCAAGCTGCGAAGAGGGAGTTTGAACGAACGGAAGCAGCCGCATTCTGTCACCAGGAAATACTGCTTTATCCCGAATTGGTAAGTGAAAAGTGGCACTGCTCCCTAATAGATATCATATGGTGTGTGTGGGAATTGCAAAATTGTTCACAGACCCCTGACAACTGTGTTGAGCAGAGAACACAGGAACAGAGTGAGCACTTAGAAAAAAGAGCAGCTCGGGAATATAGCATAAAGGCTGGGAAGAAGGCAGGTAATTAACAAAAAAAAAAATGAGCTCTTGCCAGGTTGGCCAAATATATGCCATGCAGCTGGAGTCGGGGTTTTTCTTTTTCTTTCTGGGGAGGGAGAAGCATGAAATCAAAATGGGCTGTTGGGTGGTTTCGGCATTCATTTTCCACGGATAGCTGGTAGGGAGTTCGAAGGGATGGCTTTCCGAATTAATGGACTTGCCTTCCTTTTCCTCTGTCTACTCCAGGGTGTCAAGCATTTAGTCAGAACTTTACAAAATGAAAGCTCAAGTCATGCATCGGCAACATCTCCTCCTGATTGTGAAGGGCATATTCCGGTGCTAACAGATTTTTCTTTGCCATTCTGGTCATGAATTTCCCAATTGTTCTGTTTGATTATATAAGTATAGCAAAAGGGTAGTTCTTTCTATGTGGTCCATTCCATTTTGCGAGCTCGTGATTAGCAGTTCTTAACTGGCTCCGTGTGCATGTGTCTGCCTGTCTGCTTCTCAGACCTTGAGTTAGGTTTTCTAATCTTGAACTTGAGCTGCTCCTGTGTTTCAGGTTTCCAGAAGAATACAAGAACGCTTTGAATACCTGTTGTTTATATAATAGGTTCTTGTTCATGAACTGTAAGGTAACACAATTTTATATTAGGCATGAATGTCTGGCTTTCTGATTCTGCTTCTTCGAAATGATTGTGCTGAAAAGGTTGAATAGAACAAGAAAAGAACATTAGAATGGTAGGTGGCTACCTGCTTCTACCAGTTTGTTATTGGTCAGCAGAAGGAATCATGTGCTGTCTACTTAAGAGAAACAGATGGGAAAGAGTTGTTCTTTAGGTGGTAGCAATTATATAAGGCAATTTTGATGATCTCCATTTATGAGTGTAGATATAATAATTGAAACTGTTAGTAACAGAATTGGCAGTTGGAAGTTATATAAGACATAATATTCACTTCTTTTTAAGTACTGTAAACCAGCTGGAAAGTTGAATCGCCATTTCTGACTTTTGGTTCCTGTTCTGTTACTTTCAAAATCTTCAAACCCTTAGCTCCAAAAGCAAAACTATATAATAAAACAGACGCTAGCAATGCTGCCGTCCCCTGTTGGCAGTGGAGTGGGAGAAGGGGTTGTGGGGTGGGGGGATGAAGCTCCTGGGATCGATTAATTGGCTTTTCCTCTCCTCTTTAGAGATGATTTCTCGCAGACCGGTACATCTCAAGACCTTTGTGCAAGTGTTTATTTCCATAGATGAAAAAGGCAAGATGAGCGTGGCTGTTAAATCAGGAAATTGATGATGCAAGCCTGTAATTATCACCAGTCTTTCGACTTAGTAAGGTGTGGCACCTGTTTCCCTGAAGCCCATGAATTTATAGATTTTTTAGAATCTTGTAGACAGAAAAAATGGTGAGAAAACATTAAGGTATTTCCAGGTAGTTTATATCCGACTGCTAGCTTGTGTTCAGTGATTCACAATTATTTTCAGCTTGGTATTTCATGTAAATACTCGGGGGAAACATGGTGACTTAAGAATCTGGCCAAAAACTGATATGCTTGATGGGGGGGGGGGGGGCTCTGTACAAATGTTAGTTCTTCCTCATCCATTTCGAAGCCATTGTTTTGAAGGACAAAAATGTAATAGAAGCTGGAAAGTATATTCCAGAAGAATTATATGAGAGCCTCGTGTTTCCAAGCCTCGTTGCTGTTCTCTGTTCTCAATTTATTAATTTTTAAGAATACATTTAAAATGAATAAGACAGTATTGCCCTGAATTCTCCCTTGAGGTCATTGAGAGTATTAGCATTTTTGTGTACACTGTGAGAAGATTTTAACACTGAAGGGGCCTTGGTGGAGCGACAGACTTCAAAATGATTTCTCTTAAATACTGCTTGATATTTACATATTCAAGAATAGAAACACTTTTCCTCTAGGCTTGTCTCTTATATTTTTGGTGTGGCATACAGATTTCTATAGTCCAATTAAAAGGCTCTTTTGGAGGTATGGATATGTATGCGTATATATGAGATCTGCAGGGGAGCTTCAGTCGCTAGCGAAACAAGTGGCTGTTTGTTAGGAGTCAGATAAGCCTCACAGTGTTGTTCCTATGACAACTGAGTAGATGGGTGTTGAAATGCAGCTTTAAGTTCTCGGCTTGGAAATGTCATTCAGACCTCCCACTACAGTCTCATTGAGTAGGAGGATAATGAGAAGGGGAAAAACCGTGAAGCAACATAAGTATCTGCGTTCTTTTCGGGTCTTCCTGACTTGCTTTTGTGTACGGGATCGCCATGGGAGTGGTAAACATAGGTCTCGAACAAAGCAATATTTCCATACAAAATCAATGGGAAGGGGTCAGAAAAGTTGGGGAAGATAAATAAGAACATATGGGGGTAATAAAGAGGCAGGAGAAGTCGGCTTCCACAGGTTGATACAAATGCTTTGTCCAGTACTGACCAGCAGGGAGAACATCTTGAACCAGTTATTGTATAGCCCTTCAAGAGCTGCAAATATTGCCTTAAAATGCAATGTGGAGAAAATTCCTTTGGTAGCAGGATGGTTTACCACTTTGGCATAACATTTATTCATCTCTTGTAGGCTGACTACAGAGGATACTGTGTTCTTTTAAGGCACATGCTTTTAAACCAATTGTTCACTTGTCATTTAATAGCTTTTGTCTTTTTTTCCTCCATGGGAAAGGCAAGATTGCAGTACTAAAACTTAAATATTTTTTTATCCCATATTCAAAAAGGATTTAAATCCGTAGCGATTGTTTGAGACCTGTTGTTTGTGGAAGTGAATGGCTTGACTGAGAATCTATGGAACACAGTATTGGAAGGGAGCAATTGTTTAGACTAATATTTGGCGTAGATTAATTATGCAGTTGTGGGTTTTCCATGCCCAAAGGGCTTCCTATTTTCTACTCCTGAATGGTTTTGACTATTTGATCACCAGCATCTCTTGAAGTTAGAAAGGAAAAGATTTCAGTGGGATTGCCCGATTTACTTAACAAATGTAAGTCCATTAACTTTTTGAACCTACCCCCCCCCAAAAAAAAGCTCTGAAAATCAAAAGATTTTCATGTAATGAATTTGAAGCAAATCTTGGACTGAACCCAGGTGAGGCTAATTATAGTCTTCACTTAGCTCACTAAGTGTGAATCTTTGTATGTTGTACCATGGAAATATTAATGTATTTGATCATGGAGTACTGCATTCCACTTCCTTGGAGCTCTAATATGCATAATACATAATAGTCACTTTATTACCTTTATAAAATAATAATCATAATCAGTCCAAGTGTCAGATGAGGACTTATGGACCTCTCATTGCTGACATCCACTGAGCTTATATTATGTGCCAGCACATAATGAATCACTGGCATCTAGAACAGTGCCTGGCACATTGTAGATACTCACTCAGTAGATGTGTTTTGGTATAAAATACTTTACTTGTGTTAACTTATTGGACTCATAGGACTTGTATATAGCCAATATGATTGTTATGCCCATTTTACTTGGGGAAACTGATGCACTAAGAGGTGAAGCAACTTGCTTAAAGTGACACAGGTGGGAAGTAGTGGAGCCAAAACTTGAAAGCAAGCAGTCCAGCTATGGTCTGTTCTTACTGAGTCCAACAAGAAAGTCCTGGAGATGTGGGACCCGAACTCTTTAGCTGAGTTATTGGGCAGTTTCAGCTATGTACTTTATTCTTGATCACGCTGCTCCTTCTGTCATCAGAAACTGATAATATTGCTAATGTGGTCATTACCAGGGGTATGCTATGGAGTGCTTGCAGGTGCTTCAGCTAGAATTCATGAAAGGATACAGAGCATCTCATAAATGCCTATAAGGTGTCTGTCTAACCCCTATGTATGCCTGGGAGTGAGAAAAAACATTCCAAGTGGATGGGAACCTCCATATTCTATGCCCAAACTTCCCATTCCCTTTCTTTGCTTAATTTTTTTCTTAGGACTTGTCTCTGTTTGTCATATTGTGTGGTTTAATTATTTGTTTTGTATTTTATTCAAACACTAGCTATTTTGCTGTTTGAACAAAATTTAAAGTCCTAGATATTTCTTTTTTACCTCCACCCTCAAACTCATTACTTCCCATCTCTGATTACTACAAATAATGATTTTTTTTGCCCATTGGATTTTCCTTGCTGTTAGTTATCACTTTCACATTCACAGCCATGAGAATTTCTTTTTCTTAAAAATATTGTTTAGGTTATACAATCAGAATTTGAGAATGGCGTTCTTGGTTTAGGAGGGGAAAGTGAACCAAGTATGAATGCAGCCATTAGATATTTTTAAAATTAGGAAGATTTAAAATTATTAAGGAGAGCATATAAAGTAAACACTTTAGGCACTACTTGTAGTTTAAATAGAGAACCATAGAACTGTATGTAACATTTTATTTCAGACCCACCTACTTGCTACCCTTTTCCTTTGCAAAACAAAATAAATCAATATAAAACAATGATTCTACATGTTGTATTAAACAATGTAAGTGATTTAATCTTGGACATTTCCTGGCTCAAGTTTTTAAAAATCTCAACTTTAACCTATTGTCTCTCAATCCTACATTTATTCTAGTTTATGCATTCCAAAATATTTAGGATAATCTAAAAAACAAAATATGTGTGTATATTATTTTTATGTATATGTATACTGTTAACCATAAACAATGTATTCCATGTATAGTTGGCTTTCTTTAGGTTCTGTTTAAAAAGGAACAAATTAGATTCATATAAAAGTTGAATTTAATGCCGTTTATTAGTATAATAACTGAGACATTTTGTTTTTCTAAGCTACAGCTAATAGTAAAATAGTTTCTAGTTGTTTTCTTCTAAGTAGTTAATTTAATAAAGTAATAAGTTTCTTTTGCATTTATTTTAAGGTAGATAATGGGGTCACTGACTCTGAAGGGCTAGTTAAGATTTTATGTGGAAGACTCTCCTCTTTCTACCATGAGAGAGTTTGATTCCCCTGAAGCATGTGTTCTGTTGAAAGTCCAACCTTGCTGGGGTTATTGGAAGACCTCTTTGCTGTTCCTCCTTCCCTAAAGAAGATGGACAAATTTTTTTTTAAATGAAAAGCTAAAAGTTTTTCTCAACCGGGGTTTATATGATATGTATAAAATGAAATTAGAGTTTTTAAAATTGAGAGGAACAGGCCCAGCAAAGCTTTGCAAGGAACTTGCAAAATTCTCATTGTCTAAAAGAAATTCCCAACCCTCCAGACATTTTTCAGTGAGTATCAAGTACAAGACAGTGGTCCCCATGACCCAAATTACGGTGTCTGCTAACAACATCCATTGACATCTTTGCTCCCTAAGAGTCCAAGGCTTTGGAAACAAGTAGACTTGAACTTTAAGCTCCCTTTGCCTTTTGCTAGCTGAATAAGCTACTCCATTTATTTCCCTGTGGCCCGGAGCCTGAAGCGTTTAGAACAAGCTCACAGAGCTGTTGGGTGGGATAGCATGTGTACAGCACATGCCATGGAACCTGCAGTGGTGGTGCTTAACACATTCACATCCTTTCCCAAATCTTTTTAGCAGAGACCTCTTCAGTTGGGTCGCAAAGACTGCTGGACTCATGCTAAATTGTATCACTTTTTTTCCACATCAGATCAAGCAAAAACAGTGATGCTGCCATTTTTTCACCATTTTCTGTGTTCTAGGTAGGTACCGTTATGAGTGCTGTTATCTGCATGAACCTGTTTAATCTCCAGGGCAACCTATTGGTACACTTCATTATGCCCATTTCATAGATGAGGGTGCTGAGGTGCAGAAAGGTAGAGGAGCTTATTTAGAGCCAGGACTTTGGCAGAATAAAAGTTGACTGAACCTGAAAGTCTCAGAAATAATCTTCTCATTTCGATTCTGTTAAATGTCACCATCTTCCAGGCCTGGCCCTCTCAGTATTGAAATACAAAATTGACTTTTTCTACTTCTTATTTTACAAATCAATGGGACCCATCTTAGTCATCTGTGTTTTATGAGTTTTAACTAGACCACTGAAGTTCAGGAGGGGAATTCCTTGTTTTCAATTGATCTCATCCACTAACAGATTTACTCATGTAACTTCCCCTATTTTTTCTTAATGTTTTCACTTGAAAGAGGGGGTGGGGAGGGAATAGTTTGTGTAGGCATTTGGATCCCAGGGATGCACTTTTGTCAACCTTTCTAGAGACTCTGGTGTAGGATTAACCCATAGAGGACTAAAATGAGTACAAATCTGTATTTACTCATCTTTTTCTCCTTTATCTCCATCTGGTTCTGGCTGTTTTCCAGAGAGGTAAAACTTCTAAGAAAAGAATTACAGGAAGCTATCTCTGTTCATAAAACCTTATGTTTGGATGATGAGTTAATTTTCTGAAACAAAAAGGGGGGTGGGGCTTCACATTGAGAATTTCCTCTTCTTTCAATTCTAGGTTGGGAATTTGATTTAGAAGGTGGGATAGACCACCCTCGCTCATGGGTTCAAAGTGCTTGGAAATCCTTTAAAAACTTCCCTGGCCTTGGACTGAGCCTATCTATGGGAAACTCTATTAATCACGCCAGCCTTCATTCTTTCATTTATTTGCCCATCCATTCATTTATCCGTATTTTCCTATGATTCATTCAGCGTGTACCCGCAGACAGATGAAAGGGAAGACCGAGTGAGAGTGCATTAGGGGACAGAAAAGGAGTAGCTGTAAACTCACTCTTTGTTCCTTTCACCTCCCAAACGGTGTCTTTTCTTAGCCCATTTGCCGCATTTCACAGAGTGACACAAAAGTCCTTTAGCATCTTCCTTTGGTAGCCAGGCTTCTTTTTTCAAGTGCTGGGGGAGAAGAGGCTTGTGAGGGGCAAGCAATGCAGTGAAATATTGTTTTCTTTTTCTTGTCTTTTTAATGGTGGTGGTGGAATGTGTCAGTAAGTATGGCCTAAGAATGCTTGAGCTTTCAAATCAGTTCTCTAAGTTTAAAGGTTATTAAGAGCCCACAAGGATGCCTTGGACAATATTTTTTAAATCGACATTTAAACCAATTTTTAAGGCCAGGAGTTCTATTCTGACTTTCATCACATTTATTTTTGAAACTATCTCCACTTAATGATGTGAGAAATGAAAAGTATGCTGTGTTTTGGGGGGAACATGAAGGTAGGGAGGAGGGCTTTAGTCTAACACTTGTAGCCAATAATATTGTTCTTGAAGACACACACAGAGTCATTGTCTTTCCTGGTGATTGAGTATTGAGTTAAACCTTGGAGTTGTTTCCCATGGATTCTGAAAGCCACATCACTAACCATTTGAGTTCTTTTTGATGGCACAAACTGCTTCCTCTGTGTGTTTTTTGATGCAGGTTTGTCCACAGCAAGAATGGCAGTGAAAATCTTTGTCTTTCAACATGAAGTGTGAAGTTTCCATCACTAGTAGGTATATACAGCCTGGTGGGGGGAAAATGTTAATATAGATTTCAAAAACAAACACAAAATCAACATCACCCACAGTCTAAAAGGATGTGTCAGTATCTCAGGGCTCTTCTGTCAGAGCGAGATCAAACAAGGACTGCTCGGGACAGGTCACGTTGACAACGGTGGGGAGTTCCTACTTTTCTTCCCTTCCTAGTAGACATCCATACTCCCAGGAAACCCTCTCTTTATTTATTTACCCATGGCCAGCAGGGAGACTATAGAGAAGCTTTCCTTTTCTCTTCACCCCTGCACAATTTCTCATCATACCGGGGAAATGGCTTATTTTATTATAGCTTTGTCTACCTGGCCCTTGAAACATGTGGAGTTTTGGTAAAGGAATAATAAAAATGGTCTCAGATGCCAACTAGACTTCAAAGGTTACAGCAGAACAGTGGACAAAGGCACCACATGAATAATGTTCTTTTTACAAAAATGGATTGCTCTTACTTACCAAGTGCTGAACAGTGTTCTGGATCTATGAATACAGCAGTGAGCACGGTCCCTGTTCTCATAGAGAAGGGCATGCTAACAGTGATTGAATGAATAATGCATACCAGGTGTTAGGAAATGCTGTGGCGAAAACAAAAACCAAATCAGACTGACAGGGAGTATCAGGGGTTCGGGGTAGAGCTTCTTTATCCACAGTTGATGGGAAGGCCTATCTGATGTGACATTTGTGCAGACTTAGCCATGGGATATGAGGGGCCAGCCATTAGGATATCTGGAGGAAGAAGACTCCAGGCAGGGAAAACAAAATAATTAACTGCAGTGGAGGGAGGAGCAAGCTTGGTGTGTCCAAGGTGCACTTCTTAGCAGATCATGCTGGCCATAGTAAGAAGCTACTGGAAGGTAGATGATAACTTGAAAGGAGGATGGTATTCCAAGGGTGCAGGTGATCTGCGTAAGGATCCTGGAGAATAGAACTTTGGTGACTCGTAAATAGAGTGTATGGAAGTTGCATCTGGCTTTCTTTTGATAAAATATTACATTTTTAATTTAAATCATGATGATATCAAAATCTTGGTAAAAAAAGAAGATAAAATTGAGCTATTTGAAGCACAAACACTGCTAGAGAACCCGATGTGGATAATTCTTCCCTCACATAGGCTCTTCGGAGAGGTGTGAGGTGCTGGGGTGCCTAGCTGTGGGCTACTTTGATTTATATATGCTAAAAACTTCGTTTCTACAGGGGCCTAAATTTGCTGATTTTGCACTCAATAACAAGCCGTTTGGAATTTTGAACTACATGGAGTTTCAGTAATTTTGTGTTAAAAGTGTTCCTTTTTTGTAATGCGCAGTTTTCTGGTCAGTCAACTGAAAAGTTACCTCTTATAATTCTGTGTGCAAATTGACTGCTTGTTACAAGTTAAGGAGCTGTGTTACACAGTATTTGTTTTATAATGGGAGGCCTAAGAGAGTATAGAAAGATGAAAGCAGTTAGCCAGTTGGGAAGGTGAGATTATAGGTACTTTTCGCCTTTAAAGTTGCATTAAAAACAGGTTTGCAGTTTCTGAAAGGTAAAGGTGATTGCTAAAAATGAATTGTAGCTCTTTGTTATCCCTCTGTTAGCACAATCTGTGTACTTTTTGTGTAAGGGCTGTGCAATTTTTGTCATCTGAGGGGAGTTTACAAACACGCTAAGAGACATGTCTTGGGTAAGGACATATGGTCTATAGGAGGGTGTGTCCAAAAGTTCATGAAAAATGCAGTGAAAGGGTATTCATTTTGGTGCCCCAAATTTTTGAAGTCCATGCGTAGTTTTTTTTTTATAATACATCTTCCATGAACCTTTGGAACATCCCTCATATGCACGAATTTAAAAATTTTGGGCACTGAAATAAACTTAATATTCTTTCAGGGGGCTCTTTGAAGCTCCCTGCTGCATATCAGTATATCTACAGCAGGACTTTGTAATCAGGCCTCACAACATACAGGGCTTACCAGGGCCTTAATAGCTGTTTGTGAGTGTTGCCCGGATTTCCCTTACTTCCCACCATCTGATATTTTATTCCTCTTGATCCCCTAGTCTGACTTTCTACTACTTAGGCATGTATTTGGGTTAACCTTCATAGTCTTTTAGCAAGGGATCCACCTGTAGAAAAAAGTTACTGGTTTTCTCATTTATAGCTTAGTTCAACTGGACCGGATTTCCTTGCTGCCTCTGGCTGAAACTGACTGACTGAATCAGTTTCACTTGTGGGGAGGAGAAATGAGTACTTCAGGAACAGAGAGTGTGTGTGTGTGTGTGGGGGGGGGGGGGCTGTGTTTGCTCCTTTCCATCTGCCCCTAAAGGCAAGAACACTGCCTTGAGAGAGGGAGAGAGAATTGGGGTAGCAAGAGGAAGCTGACTCCCCTGGATGGACCAGTGCTGTGGGGGGGGGCAGGCAAAGGTAGGATGTAGGGTGGTTGGCCAATCTTTGGTTGCAAGCCCAGGTGCTGTCAGCCTCAGGTCCTCCTGGTGTCCCAGGCACAGACAGCACTGTCCATTCCTGCTTATCTCCTGTGAGCTGAAGAGAGAGAGAGTGCTCTTGACTTAGTGAGTGCCCTTTCTCTGAGGAGCCTTGGGAAGACACGGAATTTGGGAACGAACTTTCCAGACAATCCGTGTTCCCGAATCCTCCCTGGTACATCTCTCTACTGCATGTACTTTCTAGGTGCAGTCTAAAGAGGTAGACACTAAGGCTCCTTTTCTACCAGTCTCTGACTTCTTGCATTGAGGGCACCACAGGCGTTGTCCAAGAAGTGGCTGCATTCTATGTGGTCCTTCCTCTAAGGCCACTCTTGGTCTTGATCTCAGTCTGGGTCTCAGTCTCCTGGGGTTTCAGCCGTTTGGCCCCATGAGCCCCGGGACTTCCCCCTTGTCTTCCCCCATATAAATAGACAACTTGCTGCCTCTGTTCTCAACCCTTGATATTTCTGCTTGCGACTTGAGTGTCTTCTGAAACGATTGTGCGGTAGCTGGGCACTGCAAAATGAGTCAGTTCCTGCAGTTCGGTTACAAGTTCTCAAAAAGTATTTCAGAATGTGGATGTGGTCAGCAGAGTCATTTTCCAGGCATCTCAAAGGAAACCCACATCAACTGTAACAATTGAGCTGCGAACCGATGGCTCTGCTTATCCTCAAAGCAAAGCCTGGAGGGGCCCTCCAGTCTCGCCCTCTCCACAGATCCTAAATGGGACTCCATCTTCATGCTTGGAAATCACATTGCATCCACTACCATTTGCACAAACAATGCAATAGAGGTTTTGGCCTTTTTCAATGTCTGAATGTGGGCTCAAGTTTGACAGAAGAAATTAGTTTAGCAAAAGAGAATCTATGGGATTACAAATACAATTAGTAGGAAGCGTAATATGTGGCTGCAGGACATAAACTTTTGGCAATTTAGCTAATGCACCGAGGAATAACTAAAGTGGTTTAGGTACCACTTGAGTACATGGATGTATGATTATTTTGTTTACTCCTTAAGTTCTGGACCCAAGTAGACTTAGTAACAATGCTGACAAAAATAATTCCTTTTCAAAGTTTAAAAGAACTGCAAGTTTGTGATAATATTTACAGAATATTTTAGTTTAGCATGGGTTTTAGAAAATAATCATTGTGAAGGTTTTTTAAATATTTTCTTGTGTACCATGAATTATGTCATGTTGATTGAGTTCAGTTACCAGTCTTGCACCACTCATTAGACCCAAGGCATTTTTCAGTATTAAGAAAACAAATAACAAAGAAAAAACATGCACAAATGATCTGAACAAGTTTCACCAAAGAAAATATACAAAATACAGATAAGCACATGAAAATATGTTCAATAACATTAATCAATCAAGAGGGAATCCCAAATAAAAAATGCAATCACATACCATGACCCTCCTATTTGAATGGCTAAAATTAAAAAGAATGACTATACCAAGTGTTGGTGAGGATGTGGAGAATCTAGAACTCTCACACATTTAGGTAGAAAGAAAGAATCATACAAACAATGAGGGTGCTGGTTAATTTCACTAACTTGATTTTGGTGATACTTTTATGGTGGTATTCACATGTCAAACATAACAAACTTCATACTTTGAATACATGCTGTTTGAGCTCAATGAATAGAAAATGTTAAGAAATCACTGTTAGACCAGATGGAGAATTTTTAAATGTCCTTATTTGGTAAAATAAAAAATAGCATCTCTTGGGGAAAAGTTTTGATAGTTTTTAATGGTTTGAGGATAGAAATACAGCCTTCTAGTACAGACAAGAACCCAAAGTTAAACAGTGAACATAATAAACGTGATATCTTTAGTTCCTCCTGTTTATAAGGCATTTAAACAAGTGGTTCCAGAAGCCTCTTTTCCAGCACAGTGGGACCAGCTGCCTGGATGGTTTGTATGCATTTGAACTTGTACACAAGTACTGTAGCACTCACCATACGATGAGACTAAGGCATTTGAAACTGGGCCCAGATTGCAAAGATAAGACATGAAAATGGCCACCTTGGATTTGACCATGGGTAGGCAAATAAACCTCTTAGATTTTCAGAGTGACTGCAAATTTATTTTATTACTTTCTTTAGCCTTATTGAGGTATAATTTACAAATGAGAGTTGCATATGTTTATAGTATACAGCATGATGTTTTGATATGTTGTATATATCGTGAAATGATTACCACAATCAAGCTAATTAGCCTATCTCACCTCACATAGTGGGGTGTGTGTGTGTGTGCGCGTGCGCTGAGAATGTTTTGAGATCTACTCTCAGTAAATTTCAAGTATATAATACAGAATTGCTAGCTCTAAAGCATTTTCCTAAACCTCGTGTGTGTGATGTTCACAATGGTCCTGTGATAAGTAGGGTCAGTGTTCTTTTCATTTACTTGGGGAGCAAACGGAGACCCAGATTGCTACTTTCCTGGATCAGACAGCCCCCTTCTTCATCATGGTCACAGGTCACATGGTCACATGGTCTCCACTACACCTTGCTGCTAACCCAAACTCATGTCCTTGACTGTTTGGCTAAGACTCGGTTCATCAATTAGTTAGGCAGTTACTAGAGTCCCTTTTATTTGTATGTGAAGCATTCAAGGCAATGATCTCTTCTAATCCCCTGGCTCTCCATCTGTAAATGACTAATAACAAAACCAGCAGCTTCCCAAGAAACTGGACAGCCTTGTGTATTCAGCAGGTGTTGATGTTTACTGTGTTATCACCCTCACTGCGCCTGAAATATTGATGACATGGTACTGAGTGAGTGGTTTTGTAAACCCAACAGGGAGACACAGCAACTTAATTCCATTAGTCACCCCATGACTTTGTTCATAGTTGGAAAGTTGCACAATAAATGGGGCCCTGCGCACTCGATTATTTTAAATTCTTCTTTAAAGGACACTAAATTGCCTCATTAGTTGAGTCCTAGTGACACAAAACAGAGCTAAAGGCAAGTGCCGTCGGGGTTTACTTAGCCAAGAAGGTTGGCCCATGCTCTTTCCTCCTCTATTGCTGTGACTGTGCATCTCCCCTCCTCTCTGCCTTTTGTCATTTTCAGCGGCCTTCTCTCTTCACTGCCCCTCTTCCTTTTAACATTCCCCATTTAGGGACAGCTGTCTTGGGAGAATTCCTGATGAATCTGTCGCCATGGAAACTTCTCCCAAGCACATGTGATGAATTGTATGGAAGCCGTTATAATCTTTGGGACTCTTCCATAAAACCCATTTTCAGGAAAGGTGAATATAATAAAAATTGGGTTGAACAACATCAAATAGATTTGTCCCCCACACAACTCCTCAGAAGCTTCAGTATTTGTGAATTGTCTCATGGTTGAGTCCTCCGAAGAAAACATTTTGGGAAATGTTGCCTTGTAACCTATTATTTCATGTATCGGTACGGTGACAATTTTCCTAAAAGTTTTCTATCTGTCTCCACTGGCACATCTGAAACGAAACATCACTTGGTTTTTGGATTGGATTTTGAGAGTTCTAGTTTGTAAATTTTTTAATACATGATTTTAAAATTTATTGAAGTATAGTTTAACCTTAAAAAAAGAATGCAATAATATGGGAGCAAAGAAGGTAAGGTTTTGTTTAAGGATGAAATGCCGTTGGGGGAAGCCCTATATTTTTGTTTTGTTTAGTTTTGACGGTGTCTGCATTTATTTTATCCATGATTAATTCTGTGGCCCATTCTAGGTTTCATAGAGGCAGATGTGAAAGGAAAGTGGTGATGAACATGACAGCTGTCTCCTGTCTGTGTAGGGATTGTTTTTACTACACAGGATTTTCAAAAAGTTCCTGGAAAGTGCATGTTATGAGAAAACTGTGTGTGGTTTTCAAAATTTCGGGACACCAAAGTAAACTCATCTTTTAATTCTTTCTCCACAAACTTTTTGAAATAGCTTTGTATTTGTGATCACAGTAGTAAAATGAGTTTAACCTCTCCGCATGGGAAGAATGATCATATTTAGGGATTTTGTTTTTACAATGTGTTCCTTACACTACAGAAAGTTTGATGAACAGAGTAGGACTTACAGGAGAGGCAATGTCAGAATGCATAACAATTGTCCATGAGAAATCTGAAGGGTCTCAGTGCCATTACCTACCAGCTAGGAATGAGAAACAACGGGACAAAAGTAGAGTTAGGGGCACTGAGTTGGAAAGGGTGATTGCAGACCGAGGTAAACTGAGCTCATTTCTGGCTTTGCATATCTACCTAGAACATTTAAACAACCCATAGGTTGACTATCCCAGAAAAGTGCCCTCTTCTGTCCCAGATGTCCACTGCTCCTACAGCCTTGCCAACTTACATCTAATGTGTTCTTAGGAGAAGCTGAGGGTTAGCCTTCATTTATGATCTCCTGGTACCCTGCTGTTTCCTTTATATAATTGTTTTTTGAGAAAATTATTCCTATAGTACAGTGCCATTCACAGACCCCAAAGTAACTCCCTCGATGCACACAGACACACACATATAAAGCCACATTCTCCTGTCCTCTTTGAGCCAGTCCTCTGAAGGTCGTACCATGCTTTAGTGCCGAGTGCCTCCCCTGAACTTTTTCTCTCCTCATAGAAAGATGCACCAGATTTCCCCTGGGTCACTTACCATCAATACAAACAGCACTTTTGTTTCCCTTATTTCCCCTTTCTATCTAGCCGGAAAGTTTGCCTCTGCTACTCCCCACCCCCACCCCCACCCCCTTGCACAGGAAGAAAGACTTCCTTCCTTCATCTCTTGACTTTGCCCAGGCCTGTGAATAATCTTCCCTTTCTCGAGGGCTCCAGAGTCTCACCTTCTGTAATTAAAAAAAAAAAGAAGAAGAAGAAGAAGACAACAACAAAACTCCCAAGAGTTACTACTTCTGCATCTTTGTCTTCCTGATCGTCTGGTTTTCTCCATCAGATGAACTTCCCCTTCCACCTGGCTAGTAGTGAGCACCTTTTAAACTGTTGCCTCATTGATGAGTGCCTGGGGTTCTCGCTGAGTGTTGAGTTTCCCTTACACTCTTTTCCACTCATGCTGCATTGAGTGGCATTCCTTCTCCTTGTGTGTCCTTTGCAGTGGCTCTCCTTCAGTATCCCTCTTCCTTTTTGTATTTCAGACTATGCTATTGTAGACCACCTCAGAAATCCATCACCAATTGTACACTGAGCACTTGATCTTTCAATGTTTTCCTCTTCATTATTTTTAAGCCTACTTTTGAATCTTTTTAAATTTGATTGATAGTGTTTTTCTAAAGCCTTCCTTCTGCTCTACAGAACTGGCCATAGCTGCCAACGACTCTCCACTGTCAGCACAGACCCAAATCCAACATCAACCAATAAGAGAAGAATACTGTCGTCAAGTTTTTGCATGGCCTTTGAGTTGTACTGAGTTATTTCCACCGAAATTTTGGTTTCCTCACTACCATTTGAAAAACTAGGCACACATTCATTATGTGGCAGCCACTCCGGGAGCAAATACATAGACTTATAGGTTAGAACTTGATACTGCTGTCTTGCCCATTCTCTAGAAGTTTAAAAATAACCAGTTCTCCTCTCTCCCCTCATTTCACACATTTTGGAACAGTCTTTCTTTAAAAACCTCAATTAACTTTTCTTCTCTGTATTATACAAGTATAATCCACAGTTTTATCCTGTTCCTCTTTGCTGAATACTCTGTGTGTGTGTGTGTGTGTTATAGGTGGTAAGCATCAGATAGGATCTTTAGATGTGATATATAGACATTTAGGTCTTTATCATTTTCAAATCGTTTTTGTTAATCCTTCCAAATCTTCTCACTTCATCTGCCAGCTTTATTTCCTTCTCTTACTTTGTGGCATAAGCCATTTATATAAATCATCTAATTGGGAAATTGACTTACTACCATAGAACTCATAATTGATACTCAATGTGGTTCAGGCTTCTAGGAGATTCCAATGGGTTTTTAAGAGGCCTCACGTGATTACAATATAGTTCCTTTTCTAACCATCACAAGCATGAAATTGTACATGTCGATGCTGTCTTTTTTTTTCCTCCTTGCTCCCATTATCTGTTCAGTTGTCTTGGCTTTCTTCATCGCGCCAGGTTGGATCTTCTTTCCTTATTGTATGAACGAAGGAGGTTAGGATAGCTTTCCTGAGCCCCAGAGACTCCCGTGAGTGTATATACATGCTTGTCCTCAGAACAGGCTTTCATGGGCCCACACTTCTATTACAAGGGACATATATACTCCTTTGCAAATAGCCTGGTCCTATAAGCCCCCACAAATAGTCTAGAAAGTTACCATAAAACTAAGACAAAAAGTATGAATTATTTAAAGGATGAAGAAATACAAAGTTTTTCTGAACTAAAGATATGTTTGCACTGTTTTAGGTTTACTGTTTTGAAGTGTAGCGTATAGGATTTTACTGTCCATTCATTTAGATTTCTTTATCTGCCCAAATTTCCTTAGAGATTACTATAATCCAATGTGTTATTGCTAGTTACCTGGAGGATCTTGTAAGAATAGGACTGGATTCTTAACCTCAAAGAACTTCACATTCTTATAGGGAAACGTGTTTCTAGACAAATAATTGAAGAGCAGTGTGACTTGTGTCTGGCTGAGAGGCAGATGAATGATCTGGGAACCGGCCCTGAGCAGCACAGAGCTAACTTTCCAGAGGACTCTGGGAAGGCTTCTTAGCATTCTCGAAGAGTCTCTTTGAGCCTGACCCAGCAGAGAGAGAAGAGGAACTGGGCAGGCAAGTTTGCAGAAGCCAAATATTTGCTCCCCCTTCAGCCCTCTGAGCTCCATGAAGCTTTCTGGGGAAGAATCAGGGGAGACCAAACAAAGAATCTTGTACTTGGTGAGAATGCTGGCTGACAAATGTAGTTGTACACAGTGACCAGAGCAGAGGTGTGGGGGATGTTAGGCATGTGTGATGCCGGTACCCTGAGCAAATAGCACCAGGCTTAGAAATGAGACCAAATATAGAAGACCCTGGTGACAGAATAGTATTGGGATAATTGTGATTAAATGAAAATCTGAGTCATGAAATCTTGGGGGGGGGGGATTAATAGGTTTTTTCTATTATTTACAAGTTTGGAAAACAGCTACTTATTTTGATATCTTGAATTTTTTCTTACCATGGATGGAATGTAAATTATTTCACTTTTTGTTTGACAAGAAATCCTTACCATCATTGCACACTGAAGAGAAAGCCTTAGAGATTTCTTCCAGAGTGGTAGGAGAGGGACCGTGTGAGATACATATGTACATGGGTTTAAGGCAGTTCATTTGTGGAACTTGTCCATAAAAAGGCTGTTTGCTACTTAGATTAAAGCTGTTCTTTTTCTCTGAGTGTTTTTAATGAGCAAAGTGATTCCTGTTTTCATCCAGTGATTGTATAAGAAAAACTTGGTTTCCATTGAGAAGGATTAAAGGTATGCACCTGATTGCTAAATATTATTTTTTTTTAAAAAACTAGTCCGAGTCTGTCTTCATGGGCTGTGAGTGATTTTGCCTTTCGAAGCTTGTTTTAGGATCTTGTGCCAGCCCAATCCCTTCCCAGGCCTGTTCAGACTAGAATTATCTGGCAGCAAATGCCTTTGAAAAAATGTCTTGGGCAGGAACGTCCCAGAAAATGTTCACCTCAATCTTCAAATTGACTTGCAGAGCAATTTACTAAATAGAGAGATGTGAGAATCAAGTGACCATCAGCTGGTGGAAATGTTTTTGGTCAATGTAGTCACAGGATCTCAGGTATGCAAGAGCTGGACAGGCTGCAACCACGTGCCTGCTTATGGTGATACCCTGGCTCAAGTGCTCTAACGTAACCCAGAAGGAATCTAAGTTCACAAGAACGTACTTTAATTAGACACCTGCATTTAAAAGGTTGGTTTCTCCTGCAGCCAGCATAATTTCACCCTGTAGCACACTGTGTACATGGTATGCATTTCTTTTCTGGTCTGTAAAGTTAATTAGACTTTTTGTTCTTAACCACGTGGAGGGGGCAGATAAAAAAAAAGCTTTATTGAAGTATAATAGATAAACAAAAAAACCCACACGTATTTCATGCGGACAATTTGATGAGTTTGGACATGATGCAAATACTGGTGATACCATCACCACAATCCGAACTTTCCTGTGTCCTGTTGGTTTTTGTCGGTTTGTTTGTTTTGGGTTTTTGTTTGCTGTGTGTGAGGCCAGTGGCAGACAGCTTTTGTTCTCTTCTAAAGTAAATTCTGCCTTTGTTAGAGTACAGAACTGACTTGTTCTCTGTTCAATCCATACATGTATTTATATTCTCATTTAGTTA